GCTGCCTCATCAATATGCACCTACCGACTGACATGCTCCACCTGGGAAGCTAGGTATGCCGGCCGTACCCAGCGTTCGATATCCCAATGTATCATCGGACACTTACCCACAGTCATGATTTTATAAAGGGGAAGGAAGATCCCCCAAACGACCACAACAACTCAATCCTGGAATACCTGATCGATCGAATCTGGACACCAAGCTAACCCACCCACAAAGGAACTTCAAAGTTATCTACAGAATATGTGGGAATCTCGCTAAAATTGTACGAGTTTAACTTCTTCAAACAGAGCAGAAGCAGCAATGTGGCAATTCACATGTTAAATTCTGAACTCTGCATACAAAAGAGGAAGTTTGTTCAGTCATTAAATCTACAATCGACCTGATCTGTCTATCTTAACACCAAATACGCAGTTTTGCTTCGTCTTTTTCTTGCTTGTTTATCTCTTAATTGTATGATATTTTCTTTCCTCACCCCACCCCAACCCGAATTCAATCTCTACGCCTTTATTACCACCGTTGCTAACTTGTCTTTTGTTCAGTTGTGATTTTATTTGAGCTCTACTCAATCCCATCAATTAGATTATGCCATTCAACTTGCTTATTGAATCTTATTTTACTTTCTAACCCATTAACGAAATTTGTTATCTAAAGAGATTTAAAATTCTATTGACACAATCTTTGGAAATATTCGTTTTGTTGATAAGAAAATTCACCATATATACTTGCGATTGTATACAGCTTGAGAATAATATCGCCGAAAAAAAAGGGAGTAACTCTTCGCTGAACGCCTTTTCTTTTACATAAGTCAGACCAAGTTCATGGAACTGATGTTCCATATTCCAGGACCTATGACGCGTATATATAATTACTGTGTGTTATAGCTGGTGATCCAAATTTAATTGAATTCTACTCAACCCTGTTAGTTGTATGATGTCCTTCAATTGACTTATTTAAATTTATTTTAGTTTCTACCCGATTAACACTTTCCACACACTGCAATTTACAATTTTAATAACACATCTTTGGAAATGTTCCTTTTCTTTTTGCTAAGAGAACAAATTTGCTATATATATATATATATATATATATATATATATATATATATATATATATAAACATGCTATTGGAAGGGACGTGTGTACTGCTCAGCAGTTCGATCCGTCTTTCTCTATGGCGGTGAGACGTGGCCAATACGAGTTGAAGACATGAAAAGGTTGTCTGTTTTTGATCATTGATGCTTACGATCTCTTTCTCACGTTAGGTGGTATAATAAGGTGGTAAGTAATGTTGACGTTAGGCGTAGAGTGTTGGGCAAAGAGGGAAAATCAATCGACAAGGCTATAAAGTTACATAGATTGAGATGGCTAGGTCACGTGCTGCGCATGCCTAACCATCGCCTCCCCCATCCCGAAGGGCATTACTAGCTGATATAGGTAGGTGCAGGTTGGAAAAGAGTAAGTGGTGGCCAAACAAAATCATGGCTTCGTCAATCCATGAAATCCCTGACAGTTAAACTGAGTCAGGTAGGGAGATGCAAACTTCCGGGTTGGGGCCCACCCTCGGGACTCTAAGAATCAATGGCTGGAGACAATAGGTGACATGGCTCAAAATCGTTGTCAATGGCTTACGCAGATGTATTCAGTCTCTGTAATCTTTCATATTCCTTTCTACCATTACTCGTTCTGTTTCAATCTTGTACTTGTCAAAACTCTATTGATTCTCTTCACTCATCTTCTTGTCTACCTTTGTGTGCTCTTTGGAACGTGGCAACTCGAACTGCTGCACTTCGGTGCCAAGTTCTATGTTGAATCCAGCCATGCGATTGGAAATCCTCTGCACTCAGCGCATAAAGAATACGATTCCGATTTTCAACACACAAATGTGAAGTCAGTCAGTCCGTTATTCACTTCTTCTATAGGGGGGGGGTGAGAAACTTGCACTGCCCGTCAGTCAGTCAGTCACGAAAAGGCTTTCCAACAGCCAGTTATAGAATTTTATCAACAGTTTCCCACTTCACTGGCTGTCTCCACATTGAAGATCGAATGGCTGGGCAACCGGCTAGCAGGCCAGAAAGAATTACCAACACGAAACTCTGGCGATGAAGGTAAACCAACAACAAAGCAAGAGGCGATTGCTCAACAAATATGCAGGAGGAACTGAAGATGGATTGATCAGGTATACACACCACTGAGAAGGCCAGTCGAGTGGATCGTCAGTATGAGTGTGACATGTAGGTTTTGTGGCGCTGAGGGATTATGAGCAATCTTGGGCACAGCTATATTATAAGAGGACAGTGGAGAATAGAAGGAAGTGTAGATGTGTTCTTGGAGCTCAGAAAAGCTTCGTGTGCTCTTGGAAGTGTGTGTGGGCAGTTGTTACTTCCCGGCTGCCCACACCATGGAAGTTGATTGATTTTTCGAGTACCTGAGACAGAGAGAGATGGTTAGCGCTGCGTGACCGCAGAGCCCAGGGGACAACTTCTTGAGGCCGGCTAGTCATACACACGACCTGTATGAACTGGTTTCTGGGGTTGGTTCCGTTTTAGTAAACTTACCTCCGGTTACGGACCACCGTAGGTGAGGTAAGTCGGGATGTACAATTTTTGAGATCGACCTTTTCTAAATCCTTCTCTCCGGAGTGGAGGAAGATTCTTACACAATTCCGGTAACTGCTTTTAGTCTATTCTCGCTATCCTAACAACTTTCCTGACATGGTAGGACCTGCAGGAACATTGGTTCCAGCCAATGCAGCTTGTTGGGTTATCGTGATGTGCAAGCCCGGGCAACCACCACGTCAAGGTAGTGTAGCAGCTATCGGTAGGGTCTTGGAGGTCTATATTCCACTTGGAATCCAAGGGAATTGTACAGTTTAAGAATGATATCGCTTAAAAGAGGAGCAACTCTTCACTGAACATCTTTTCTTTCATATAATCAAACCAAGTTCATGTTTCAGGGGCTGATGATGACGTTTCTAACATAAACAAACACACATACACTGTTGTCCTCAAGACTGAAGCAGATGACACAAGTAGGACTTGAACCATGGGACCCACCAACAATACACGACTAAAACTCAAGTAAGTTGCTTAGACCCAATGAATGAATGAACAGAGTCTTCAAAAGTCAATTTATGGAAAGCCTACATGGAAAGGACAATACTTACATTTCAATAGCTTTTGTACAAATAGCTTTAAACGCGGTCTAGTCAAGACTCTGTACTATAGAGAGAGGAGAATATGCTCTACAGAGAAACTAGAGGAAGAATTTGAGTTTCTTGAAAAGACATTGAAGAGCAATGGGTACCCTCAAAGGTTCATCAACAAATATGGAAGATCTGAAGTCGCAAATGAAAAACAAATCACAGTGGAAAAAAAGCCAATCTACTTTGAGCTTGATTATAAAGGTGAAAACATTACAGCGTTGATCAACAGAAGGCTGAGTACATCACTAGCCATAGCCTATCCTGCAGCAAAGCTCGTTCCCGTCTACCGAACAACTTGCTCATCTTTGGTGCATTCAAAAATAGATAGATATCCTTCTCATGTGAACTCCAACTGCATATACAAATTTACATGTATCTGCGGCAGCAGTTACATTGGAAGGACAGAAAGAAGGGCATATCTACGATTTCCTGAACATGTACCAAAAAGCTTACGTCTAAAGGGAACAAATTCTTTAAAGAGTGCCATCGCCAGGCATCTCCTCGACACGGGTCATGAGGTGGAAATCGAGAAATCCTTTAAAATTATCAATAGACAAAGGAGCTCCATTCTCTTCAAGTTTGCCGAAGCAATTTCTATCAAACCAGATTTATGTGTTCAGAAAGAAGCAGTTGTTAGTCTTTCCTTGTCATGGTAACTGCATGTCTTTATTCTCTACTCTGATTACGTAATCTTTTTCTTTAACCTCACTCCTCTTTTTTTATAATCTGTAATATTGCTTGTCTCTCGTTTCTATGACGTGATTTGAACTCAGTACATCGTTACCAAATTTATTAGTTACTCATCATCTTACTCACCTCTCGTCTTTATTACGTAACTCTTTTACCACTGTATGCATACATCTATTTTGTTTAAACTTGAACTGCCTATGTAAAAACTATATAAGCGCAATTTTCTGAGCACTGTTCACTTACTGTGGAACTTTCTGTCAACTGACAACATGTAAAAAATTTGCAAGTATGTTAGAACTTTTCTGTACGTAAACCTCACAATTTATTTAGGCTGTAAGCAGCAGCTGATGAGAAGCCGACGAAATAAATGATGGTACCATATTATTCTGCACAAACCACTGGGTGAGTGAGTGAGCCATGTATGCTCTTTATACCAATATAAACTCAAGTATTATTATGTGACAGCAACAAATTTTATTAGAAAATAAAGTCAAAAAAAACAGAGAGAGCAAAAAACAGAAAAGAAAACCCAATGACAATGTATAGAGAGAGGGAGAGAGTAGTAGTAGTTGTAGTACACAATGAAGGCATGGTTACTGAATACAAACTATGAAAACAGAACAGAACAGAACGGAACAGGAACAACAAGAAGGAAACGTCGACGACAACGAAGAAAAAGAAGAAGAAGCCAGGAAAGAGGTCAACAATGTTGAAACAAGTGTTTCCCATATATTTATATATATATATATATAAAAGAATACAAACAGAACAAAAAACACGCATCACAGCTACACATTATTATTATTATTAGTAGTAGTAGTAGTATTGACAGTAGTACTCGTCGTATTGTCCTTGCATCACAGGCTGCTACGACGTTACAGCCATGTCCATTATGTATAATACAACATGCATTATGTGATGCAACCAACACAACCAATACACTATACTTCAAAGTTTTTCTCGCATACCTATGTAGATTTTTATACATGAATTAGTTAGTTGGTCGGTTGGTTGGTTGGTGGTTAGTCAGTCAGTCATTTAGTTATTACGTAACAATGAATGAACAAAATGTGAACCAAAAGATGATAAAAAAGACAATAATACATAAGAGAATATGGTTGAACAAATAAACATACAAACAAACAAAAAAAGAGACGCACATAGCAAAACAGTTTGCTTGGATTATTGCAAAGACTAGTCGTTCACATCCTATAGAGACAAAGCGGTTGGAAGGGGGGCGGGAAGGGAAGGAAATAAAACAAAATAAATAAATAAATAGATATAATTAAATCATTGTAAATAAATAAATAAATAAATCAATATTGTTAATAACTGACAATTCTACTGGAACACTGTCCAGTTTTTCAAATTAGTAGTAGTGTTCTCTGAGCTGGTTGGTTGGTTGGTTTAGTTGCGGAGGTTTCGTCGTCCATCGCTTCTGGACAACATCCCGCCCCGCTTCAGTGCAATTTGTAGCATAAAGTGAAATGATTTAAATTTCTTTCCATGAGTGATAGAATTGCGTCTCCCGGTAACCATCTTTTATTGATTTGGATTCTAAACTTTCCAGTCATAATATACTTTTTATTGGTTGGTAGATTTGATCTATATTAACATGTTTGTTAATCGCTGGCTGATTCGTTTGAGTTACCAGGCTTCTAGGAATTCCCTGACTACACTTTTTGCGTTTCCACCTACTGTCCAGCTTGGCTAGCTAGCCAAAGGAGAAAAGAAGAATACTAGTAGCTTCATCCTCGAACACCTACATTGTCAACTCTGGACATCGAGTAACACCAACCCCTCAACCCCGCCGCCGCATGAATGCTTCATAGTGCTACTACACAAACTCCCTCAATATCGTACGAAAGGACTTCGCATACACCATTTGTGCATAGCTGCTGAATCATTGGCTATTCGGGATGTGAAACTGGACCTCTGTGTTCAACAGCATCACATACATTCTCCATCGCCACCCCCTATCGTGGCCACTATTATTTGGCTTCCTTTTATTATATAAGTTTACTGTTATTATTATTATTATTATTATTATTACTGGACACAAGAGCAAGAAGAGGAGCAGACGTTGGCTCAGACCACTACCTCGTACAAGGGACAATCCAAATCAAATTAAAAGCTTTCAGGGAAACAGGAGCTGCAGATAGACCACAAGCCAAGTTCAACACTCAAAAGCTGAAGGACCAGGCTACAAAGGACATCTTCATTGCAAACATAAAGGAAAAAGCCGAGACACAAATCAACACCAACGAAAAGGCCAGCGTCGAAAAGCACTGGAACAAATTGAAAACGGTGTGGAGTCAAACCTGCATGGAAGTCCTAGGCAGAAAAAAGAGACAGGACAAACAGTGGCTCTCTACGGACACTTGGAAACTAATAGAAGAGAGAAGGGTGGCGAAACAAAAGATTATCCAGTGCACCGACGAGCAACAGAAACAGGAGTTGAATGCAAGCTACAATGCACTGAACAAAAGAGTGAAGAAAAGTGCCAGGGAAGACAAAAGAAAATATTGTGAAACCATGGCAAACGAAGCAGAACAAGCCGCAGGCAAAGGAGACCTCGCTACACTATACCAAACAACTAGGCACCTTTCGGGCAAAAGTTCGACACAGATTAAGCCAATAAAGGACGACAATGGAAAGTCAATCACCAAAGAGGTGGAACAGAGGAAGCACTGGGCTGAACACTTCAAAAGACTTCTAAATCGTCCGCCACCTACAACGCGTCCAACAATACCAACAACGGAAGCAGAACTACCAATGAACATCGACCCTCCGACGAAATCCGAAGTCCTGAATGCCATCAAGATGCTAAAAGCTGGGAAAGCGCCAGGACCAGATGGAATCCCAGCAGAAGCTTTGAAAATAGACCCAGAGACAACAGCGGACTTGATGACGCCACTACTAGAGAAGGTGTGGAAAGAGGGCAAAGTACCCGAGGATTGGAAGAACGGATACTTATTCAAACTGCCAAAGAAAGGAGACTTGAGTCAATGTAAAAACTGGCGTGGAATTATGCTTCTGTCCATTCCAAGCAAGATACTATGTCGCATCATCCTGGAGAGAATTAAACAAGCCCTAGATGAAAAACTTCGTCCGGAACAGGCCGGATTCAGGAGGAACAAGTCATGCATTGACCAAATCGCCACCCTACGGATTATCATTGAACAAAGTTTGGAATGGCAGTCACCTCTCTATCTCAACTTCATCGATTTTGAGAAAGCCTTCGACAGCGTCGATCGAGAGGTGATTTGGCAACTACTTCGCTACTACGGGGTGCCACCAACAATAATACAGCTCATCCAACAGCTATACGACAATTCTGCACGCCAAGTAATCCACAATGGGAAACTTACGGAACCCTTCGAAGTGAGGACGGGAGTGAGACAAGGCTGTCTACTGTCACCAATGATCTTCCTGATTGCAGTTAATTGGATAATGCGGCAGACAACGGCAACCAACGAGGGAACAGGCATAAAATGGACTCACACAAAAGCCTTGGAGGATTTGGATTTCGCCGATGATATATGTCTGATTTCCCACAAACTGGAAGATATGCAAGTGAAAAGCAACAAATTGGCAGAAGAAGCAGCAAAGATAGGACTTCAAGTGAACATAGACAAAACAGAGGTAATGAAGATTCCTGGCCAACATCAACAGCAACAACCGACAACAATCAGCATAAATGGGAGGAACCTGAAGGAAACAACTTCTTTCACCTACCTGGGAAGCATCGTCTCAACTACAGGAGGAACTGACGAGGATATCAAAGCCAGAATCGGAAAAGCAAGACAAGTTTTCATTTCTCTCAAGTCTATGTGGAGATCAACAGCATTCAGCGTCAAAAATAAGATCCGTATTTTCAACTCCAATGTGAAGTCAGTACTACTATACGGATCAGAGACTTGGCGTGTCACAAAGAGCAGCTCAAACAAGCTACAGACCTTCATTAACAAATGCCTTCGCTCAATACTCAAGATCAAATGGCCGGAGAGGATCAGCAACAAAGATCTCTGGGAGCGAACCAACCAGGAACCGATCGTGAAACAAATAGGCAGGAAGAAATGGAGATGGATTGGACACACTCTGAGGAAACCAGCAAGTGACATCACTAGACAAGCCCTCGAGTGGAACCCGAAAGGGAAGCGGCGAGTTGGTCGTCCAAGGGTGACCTGGAGGAGATCATGTGAAGAGGAGATGAAAGCATGTGGGCAGACCTGGAGCCAGGTGAAAACTCTAGCAGAGAATCGAACGCAATGGAGACGCATGGCTGAAGCCCTATGTTCCTCTAGGAATTAAAGGAAATAATAATAATTATTATTATTCTCATCATCCTTAATTTATCACCACTCCATTACTGTTTATTTATAATATTGCGTTATCATACAGATTTTATAAAAACATTTTATTGTCTTTCCACTAGTTCCTGTCCATTCTAAACTAGCTTATTGATTAGTCATTTTTTCACACTTATTGTGTCATCCCAACTTCTATCTCTTTTCCAACTTACAATTAGTCGTCCCCTCTAGGGTACACCTTACATTACGTAATACGTTTTTCGAGGACTAAGTTTATTAGTATCTGATTGGTCTTATGAATTCTTTATTAAATATAATTACGATTGTACAGAAGCCTATGAAAATGAATCGTTAAAAAGAAAGATTTTCTTCGCTGCTTACGTCATTTTCTTAAATTTACTTATTTTTTACGAAGGTTCTTTGTATTTCAATATTATTATCATCACATCTAGATGCTTATAAATGTATTAATTCTACCACAATAACGCCAGTTTATACATTAATATGTACCCTGATGAATGCTATTCACTTAATGATGACGTCAACAGATTTGATGATATTGGATGGTTGCAAGCAATCGGCCACAGGAAGCCTTGAATACGACCTAGGTTTCGTGCTAGGTGGCACTCACCAGTCAGCAAGGCGGGTGGAAGAGGAACTCATATCCCTTCTGAGATTCGAACCCGTGTCACCACCCAGTACCGCCTGAAGGCGGTCAGAGAAGTTACCACTGAGCTATTCGGGCTAGTGATTGACCCCTTGTTGGGCTGTAGGACGTTAACAGATTTTTACTCACAAAACTTATAGAATGTATATTTGTCACAATGTTGTTATGATTATATGTATTTCACCTTAAAACAATTGTATAAATGACAATGTTTGTGGAATATTCAGCTGACGAGTCCTTCTGTCGAAATTTATAAATTCATTAATACATAGTCGTTGCTTATTTTAAAACAAAGTATTTTGCTGGATATACAAATATGACGGTGATTTTTTACATCAGCAGTATAAAAAATCCGTAGGACATTTATTATTTTCAGGTTTGACCACGGATTGATATCAGTTAGAGAAGCAGTGAAAACCAGCAGTGGAGTACTGGACAGCTGTTCTGGACTCATTAGCCATCGAATTGGGTCCCAGTGGCTGAATGGTATACCAGATAGCTTGCCTTGTAACCGGAAGGTCCTGGGGTTCAAAACCCGATGGGTGCATTCTGCCAATGAGTCTTAAACTAGACTGACGAAACAACAGCTGGCTGTCCAGTACACCACTGATGGTTTTCAATGGTTCTCTAACCGCTATCAATCCGTAGTCTAACCTGAAAGAAACAGAATCCCTAGAAATTAATTCTTGAACACTTATTATCGTTTATGTATACAACACCTAATGCAACGACAATTTTGAGATAGCATTAAAATTAGGGACTTCTAGTAAGTGAACAAATTAAGACACTGAATCCTGGATATTTTCTAAAAAAAAACTAATATTTTCCTCATATTTAGTTCAGCTTTAGCAAGATTCAGGTCTTATTATGAGATGATGAATCATTTTCTCACACTTATTACGTCATGTCAACTCCGGCCACCTTTTCTGATTTCCAATAGGTCAACGCCATCAAGACAACACCACCTTACATTACTTAACACACTTTCGAGGTAGAATTTCACCAGTATCTGGTCCTTTCTTAAATATAATTACGATTGTACAGTAGCTTATGAAAATGAATCGTAGAAAAGAAGATTTTCTTCGATGTTTATGTCTTTTTCTTATGGCTAACAATCTACGTCATAGCCATCTGTTTCATATCTGATCAGAAATTGACATCAGTTAGAGAACCAGTGGAAACCACAACTGGACAGCTGTTTCATCCCAATATGAGACACCTCAGTAGTA